AATAGTTGTGGGACATACACAATACAGACAGATATGAATATATATACATCATTTACATCATTGAACACCGTCATATTTTAATGTCATTTTCATTTATAAATTTACATAAACAATTGATTAATTTGTAGGAAAAGTGGGTTAAAAGGAGGTGGAAACTGATTGGGAGAGGGATTTGGATTTTGGGAAGTTTTTTATAGAGGTCAAAAGATTTGGAATTTAAGGGACACGAAAAAAAGATGTGTTCTAAGGTTCCCTCATCAAGGCCGCATTCGCACAGCGAGCTGTCGCGAACGCGGATCTTGCTGAGGAAGACCGGACTACTGCAATGGCCGAGTCTGAGCCTGCACAAGGATGAAACAGTATGACGGGGAAGCTTGGGGTACTTGGAAAACCAAGGTTTCCGTCGGATGCCGGGCTGGACAACCGCATAGTAGGCCCCTTTATGTTTGGATGTTTCTACCCATACTGCAGTCCATGAGTCAAACAGCTTGTGCTTTGTGTCTGCACGTATATCATACCCGTACACAACGTGGTGCTGGCGTTCGACATCGTTCGAGGCCGCAAATTTGGCCAATGAATCCGCACACTCGTTACCACTACTTGACTTGAATGCATATTATCCTTTGTCAAAATTTTATATGTCAAAACAAATCAACGTTAACGTCAAGACGTCAACAAAATGAAAATATAACCTCATATAGAACAAAAATAAAAACAAATCATATAAACTTAAGTTCTGTTGAAAAGGAACAATTAATTGAACCATAGAAATAAAGTTTTATAAATATCTATTGGCAATAGACAATATGGCGCTTGAAATCGTCAGCGCTATTTTATTTACTATAGTTTTAGCATTTCTTTTACGAGTACTTTACCTTATTTATGAAATTACTATGATAAACAAATGTGAACTTACAAGACCAAAATCACTACGAACTATCCTTTGCATCGGTTCCGGCGGCCATACAACAGAATTACTGAGATTAGTGAAGAACCTGAACAAGAGAAAATATCAACCGCGAGTCTATATTTTGGCTGATAATGATGTCAGTAGTGAGGTAAAGATTCGTGAAACAGAGAAGGAACAAAACGACTACACCCTGTGCAGGATACCAAGAAGTCGAAATGTGCAACAGTCGTATTTTTCTTCAGTAATCAGCACTCTCTATGCTACTTTGTGCACACTACCTGTAATTTATAATTTTAAGCCAGATATAATATTTTGTAATGGACCAGGAACTTGTATTCCAGTTTGTGTTGTAGCTTTCATTTTCAGATGTTTGTTCTTATTAGATTGTCGCATAGTATTTATAGAAAGTATTTGCAGAGTTCGAACTCTATCACTGACTGGAAAAATACTTCAATTTTTTGCAGATATTGTTGTTGTACAATGGCCCCAACTGAGGGATGTCTGTTTCAGAGCAAAATATTTCGGTAGACTTACATAGATATTTTTTTTCTAATTGGTAGTTTCACTTTTAAATAGGTATATGTGTAAAGATTGATATTTAAATAAATATAATTGTAATATTTCCATGCTTGATGTTACTCTTTTACTATTTGACCAGTATGTAGCCAATAAACCAATTGGAACTTCAATCAATCAAGTGTCTGAATGTGAATGCATTTAGCATTTTCATGGGTATTGAAAATGGATTTAAAAATAATGGAAACAAATGGATAACTTTAAAAAGTGTATAATTAATAGCTCTAGGGAGATCAGTACACGAATATTTGGGAGTTTTTTAGTCACAAAGTGAAAACAATATCAATTTGTTGGTATTTCATGTTCTAGCCACTGATTTTCTTTTGCATTACAAAACAATTGTTGTCATAGTGGCAAAATACAATCAAACCTTGCAATGTGAATTAAAATTATCCTGTCTTACAAAACAGATTCTATTGATAAATGAAAGAAAATCCCTGAAGCTTTAAAAACTATTCTTAACAACACAAGAAGCAATTTACAATAACAATTTGTTACAAACTACAACAGAACTGTGCTTACTTCATGATATTTCACAACTTAAAAAACAATTATTTTCAACATCTTGTGGACATTATAGCAATGTTGATGTATACAGTTATCATCTACATTGCAACTGTTTTCACATGCAATGGTTGTGGATCAGTAATTCTATAAAAATAGTGTTGGACTTCTTCAATGGCTGGATTTTAGAGTTATATTCATATCCTGTGCAAAAGATTCTAACAATTATGCAATTATCGTTAATTCCAAAATACCACTGTGTATATTTTTATATTGACCCTATTTGTTCTAATCTACAACTACCTATGTCAAATCTACATCCCACCTAAAAAATTGCAAAGAGCACTTGCTACAAAAGGCACATATTTTTCTCAGAACAAAGGCCATGTTTAACCTTTAATAAAAAGAACACTTCAGTTAAGTCTTTTAAGTACTAATTTTTCTTAGCATGAAATTAAATAGCCTTGACTGAAATAAATGACCTTATTATTGTATAAACACTAAAATGGTTGACAAAATGGAAGGTAAATATTTGAGTTCAGTAAATACTGCAAAATGCTTCATTTATTTTATAAACTAGCAACTTCTGCTGAAAAATCACAGGAATGGAAGTAATCTGTTCTACATTTTTAATGTTTGCCAGTCTGAACATTGGGCATACAAAGATAACTTGAACTTTTTATCTAAATATCAAACAAACTTCAAGTGTATCATGCTATGCCCACAATCTTTGGCAGTAATTTTAAAATTTTATCTTTTATCAGATCAATACATGGGGTTTCTGGCAACATTACTAATATAAATGCATCAGTCTTCATATTAATCATTAGTAACATTGCAGAATGTGTAATGCAATAATAGTGGAGCCAATAAATACATGAATAACTTTCTCCCTAGCTCATTACACTGGATGTAAGCTCCTTACATAAAATTATGGTTTTCACAAATTACCATTTTAAAGAAAATAAATTGCGTTTTTGGATTAGACACACCTTACAGAGTAGAAAGAACTGATACATAAAGTATCTTGTCACACTAGAATGCCACAATATGAGACTGCCAAAGTGCTATGATGAAATAATACTATGTATATTTACATTAGTTTCTTATTTGTGACAATAACTACACATAACATTTCATAATTCTAATTATTTTTTCCTTGTTACATAATATCATTTATATTTCACATTCAAGTGTATGTATTTCATGTCATTATTGTTCCAAACAAGCAATAATGTTTTTTCATACAAACAGATCTAAAATCATCTCTCATTACACAAAGAGATCAGCTCATAGCAAGAGGCAGTCAACACATCATAAGTTCATAAGTTTATCTTAAGCTAGTTATTAAATTACAGATACCCTTTACATTGAGAGATATATATAACAATATTGCTAACAAATCAATATTTTAGGCACGTCCGAGAAATACTATATTAATAGTAAGTGACTATGTATCTAAAAATATAAGTACAAAAGGAAGAATTAAGTTTTTGTTTTCTTACATATCTAATTAATAAACAAGTACACTTAAGTATTATTCTCATCGTTCATGGTTTGCTATCATCCAAGTTGCTACTAGATGTTTGATTACTAGTTTCTTGTTTGGCACTGTCATCGTTTTTGTTATCATTTCGTAACTTTTCATCATCAATGAGATACATTGCTTCGTCATATGTTGGGGGTGGAGGTTCAGAGCTCGAAGGTTGAGGTTTACTAGTGGCAGCATTTCCTATTAAGGCGTCATAAGAAGGTGGCAATGTTGCACTAGATGCAGTACGAGGTACTTGACCACTGTAGGCTTGTTCGGCTTGGACTGCTGCCATATCCTATGAAAAAGAAAAATAAATTATAAATGTTTCCCAGGTAATTAACACTTTCTTCAATGATAATGTTAAACACACACAATTATCTTTTATTTAATTATTTAGTCCATCTTGGGTATTAGCGTCTTAGTTTTATCTCATATCAAACAGTTCAGTCAGTAGTTCAAGGTGAGTAATAAATAAATATTTATTCTTGATTATCTGATTTATAATGGTTTAACACTTAATTAGTTTATACACTCTGTATATCATTTGTAGTGAAATGTCAGATATGTTTAGTTAACTGTTTAACATAATAAATATGAAATGCTTCAGTAAATCTAACTGTATTGCAAAAAATTTACACAGCTCTAATTGTCTTAATCAAATTTGTGTTGTGGCCTAGTAAGTAGTGTTATGTTATGTACATAACAGTTGAAGCATGCATGTCCCATTTACACCAATCAGATGGAAAAGATAAAATTGCTTTATTTAAAAAAAAAACAGACTTTTTTCGCATTCTACAGACTAGATTAGCAAAAACAATATCTTTTACTTTTCAATAATATCATAAAAATACCATATTCACAATTTTTAGATTATGTATTTAATAGACATTTTATATAATGTTGTTTGACAACATAAACACTAATGAACATACCACGCAGTCGTAAAAAAATAAATTACTTTGTTATGGTATTGAGTAATTTAAACCTAGTGCAACTTTAATTATAATAATAATTGACTCACCCTGATTATAGCCCGCTGATGAAGCAACATTTGAATCACGCTTTTTCTCCGTAAATACAACATACTTTTCACGGCAACCATCATACCAGAACATATAAATATTGGACCCACTAGCCACATGTGTCCCAGATTACTCAGAATATAGCCATCAGCGTCGCCCAGAGCTAACACTGTTATCATAGTGCCCACCGAAAATAACACCATTGAAAGCACAAAATAAGAATAGCTCGTGCAGTCACATCGCCCAAATCTTTGATCTTCATCGAAATCATAATCACGACGCCTCAGTCTATGTAAACGTTGTCGAATGAAAGGGCTATCGAACACGGTAGCCATTTTTTTTAGTATATTTAGGCACACTATTCACATTCAACACATATTCTGTATTCGAGATAACAATTTAGAAAAACTACGTGGATATCACTTTCTTACTTTGGAAAGTGTGTGGAAAATAGCTATGCAAACTTTATGAAAAACAAGTCTGCCACAATCTTCGTTCTAAGCAATAGACTATAGAACACAATAGTGAGGAGCATATAATTTACACAGATAATAAATAGCCGGCCCGGCCGGAATTAGACAACCAGTCATTAGTCAGTCATTACGTTAGTAAGTAGAGTCGTTAATAAAGTAATGCAATATTTAAAAGAACTAAAAGTACATTATGTGCATTGATTTAATGAGAAAACTGGTTTTATTAGGTAAATCTGTGTTAGAATCGGTAATGAGCTATTCGTAATAGTCGACTATTGAGTAGTTGTAAATGTAAAATTGTCTATAGTTTGTAACTCAATTTGACATTACTTTGCAAAACAGATACGGTCTGTCAGAGTCAAATTGAGACTGTCAAGAAAAGTCAAATTGTCAATGAAACGCTAACGTACATGTTTTTGTGACGACGTACATTTTCATTATTAACTATAATTTGTTGTAAAAATTTTACTTGCTTTTGCTTGTTGCATTACGAGTAGTTCAAGAAGTTTCTTTAGAATTTAAATGGGTTGCTATGTTCTCTGAGTGATTTTTAAGTGGTGATTATGTCGTCCGATATGGGTCCTTTCATTTTATTTATCGTGGCATTTATCTTAGAAACGGGTACATAACATGTTGTGTTATTTTCGTATGAATATGATATTCTTAAATGGTTTATTGTTTACAATAATGTATTTGGTTTTGTAGGTGTGTCAGCAATAGAGGTGACTTTGTCAGACAATGGGCCTGCGGTGCGAGGTGCTGCTGTAACATTTACAGCTAATATAACATCGGATTACACAGGGGAAAAATTAAAATTCGTGTTTACTGACAGTGCGACACCACAGCATAGTAAAGAGGTAAGCATTCAATTATATTTGGGTTTTAAAGTAACATAACAACAAAGTTGCAATATGACAACAAAAACATTAGCATTCTTTTTAAAAAAAATAAATAGATGGGTTCTTATTTTGATTTAAAGATGAAAATGTTAATGATCCATTGTTTTGACATATGGGGATAAGAGTACACTTTATTTATATTATGTAGTCTAAATGAAGTAACTAGTTATTAAAATACTGATTGTTCTCATATTGAATAACTGTGGTATATTTTTATATCAGACAATTACATACTTCCTTCCTATTCAATGTATTAAAATTTATTATCATACATTTATATATTTTATAATCTATAGCACTTTAAAAAGATTAGCTGGATTACACTAATTATGACCAATCAAGTGAAGGAAACATTATCAATGGATTTGTTTATTTTTTTTCACCTTGAGAAATTAACACATGTTATGAAGAAATAATTACGAAGATGTTTCGAGTAGTAGTATGTAGTTTTTTCTGTAAACTACATTTACATAGACCTGTCTATCTAATTTAATTTACGCTGTGATCTTTAAGTTCTCTGCCAAGTTTGAGGTAATGACAAACTCTCTTATGACATGGAATTCATTGTCTAATAGTGGACTTTCACAACCTATAAATGGTTTAGTTTCTTTTCTTTCAAATGACCTATTTAAAACTTAATCTGAAGCTTTAATGCTCAATCCCCAAGCGGTCTCCGGTGACTGGTCTCCACTAACTCTATTGTAGACCTATCCGCCCCTAAGATGACCCACTGACCCTTATTTCCGATGTTGTTTAGCGACTACTTTTGTATGAACAAATTTTTGGTATAATATATCAACATATTAATGTACTTCTAATAATATATGATTGGAATTAAGTACCTCCTTTAAAAATTGTTTTCAATATAAGTGCTTGGTACTCATTAAGACGACTGCCAATAAAAAACTGTTGAAGGTAAATCCTCAGCTAAAACCGGTCACCGGTGAACCCCATGGCGTTTAACATGTTAATAACCATGTCATGCTGCTTTAATATTTAATTATTATTTATTTTATTACACAATTACTGTAAAATACAGATTGAAAATCAGTTGATACATACTTGTTTACTTGAATGTTCCTACATTGTTTTCCTGTAGGTCAACTATTATATATACATTTTTATATTAATTACATAGCCTATGTAGTTAAATATTTTTACCTCAATAACAAATCAAAGCATTTATGAAACAAACTTATTACCCAGTGCTGTAATAAAATGTGAATGTACAATGATAACACAAATAAATGATCAAGGAGGTTTTCATAGATCAGATGTAGCATAACATAATACTTCATCTTTTAATCTCCAAAGAAATAAAGTTACAATATAACACTTACTTTTAAAAAGTTTTGTCTTGTTTAGTAGTTGTAATGATGTACCTATCTATACTTCTATACTAATATTATAAAGAGGAAAAATTTGTACCTATTTTTGTATGTTTGTAATGAATAGGCTCAAAAAGTACTGGCCCGATTTAAAAAATCTTTCACCAATAGTATGCTACATTCTTCCAAATTGACATAGGCTACATTTCATTTTGAAAAAAATTAGGGATCTTTGGTAAAATTTGAACAATGTAACTGAAGGTGTAGAAAAATTGTTTCAAGAGTCTTAAAATGTCTTTCGTCGAATGCGCAGCCGAAACTATTAGTGATAGAACAAAATAATGCACAACAATATTGGAGAACTTCATAATGTCTACAAAAAACTCCGCGGGAGCATATGTCCAACTATTGTAGTTATGTCACTACAACAATTCAAATTTCCAAAAATAAATAATTGTCTACCCCGTGCGAAGCCAGTGAAAATATGGAAGATTGTCCACTTCAGTACTTTTTTTATACTTGATAGGTTGATGTTAGGCCAGGGCCACCAGTTAGTATGAAACTTGAGAGAGAAGCAGGACAACCTTTTTTAAACTGTCAAACACCAAGCCGACCAAGCGGTCACCGGTGACCGCAACCTATTGTTCTATAATTGTGTCTATAATGACGGTACTCGACGAGTTAAACGGTTTTTTTTTATTAATGTTATATCTAAAACTCTTTATCAGTAGCCAGTTCAGTATTGCATGGCCTGTCTTCATTATTCAACTGCAGACGTTTTTGCAGTAAACATTGAATTTATTCTCAATTTTCCTTATATAATTGATATATAAGGTACTTTTTCCATTTATACTGCAGTCGTTGAACTATTGCTGTAGTCAGCCTTGAGTGGTATATCACATGAACACAGGATGTCGGCTGATACAGACATGCCACGTGTATTTGAGTCATTGTCACTAAATTGGGCTATCATTATTCTGGTTTTAATTGCGTCTTTTTTAGTCAACTAAAGTCTCCTTTCGTCTAAGTTGAATATTTCAAGTGTTCAATACAATAAAATATTAAAAAATAATAACACTTCCATTAATTGATTTTATTACCAACCTAATTTTAGTATTTTTCCAGGAAATCTTTAAGAAGTACTATGTATGACGCATTCACAATCTCGTACAAAATTCATAGAATACTGTCGTTTTTTGACAGTTCAAAAAAAGTATTGAATTTGACTTGTTGTCAAATATCGTATTATTAAGATTATCTAGTTAATTGGTTTATTTATGAAGATGACTTTGTTATTATCTTTGAAGTAACCTATGTATATTCTTTACTAGGTATTTTGCTCGCTACTCCTGCGCGGCTTCATTCGCTGCTCGGCGCCTAATGATCGTAGTGTAAAATGGTCTATGGCTTTTTTCCATAGACGGACAAAATTATTGAATTCAAACAGTAGTTCAGAAAAACAAGCTCTTCAGCTTTATAGATAATCATTCAATTAAAATATGTCGTGGTGGCCCGGAGATCTAAGATGCTCGCTTCTCATGCATGAGTATGTGACTTCAAAACCTACCAACAGCAAGTACCAATGTGACTTTTTCCGAGTTATATGAATTTCTAAGATTATTTAGACACAACTGACAAACGGTGAAGGAAAACATCGTGAGGAAACCTGAACTTATAATTTCTAATTATTTATTTTCAAATCACCAACCCGCATTTAGCAAGCGTGTTGATAAATGCTCAAACATTATCTGTGCGAGAAAAGGCCTTTGGTCAGCAGTGGCCGCTCATAGGTTGTTCATGATAATGAATCAATTAAAATAAGTAGTGCTAAAGATCGTATAGCATTCAGTTATGTACCTAGTTTGTAATTTGATTGTAAAATCATCCTTAGGTATACATGTTTAGTATTTAATTATGTTTTAGTAATATAAAGTGGCTTTAACCAACTATCTGCATTATTCTGCATGCTAAAGGGATGCATACATAGACCTTGCGAATAGAATCGAAACTATTGCCGCAAGCCTCCGGCCTGATGAAACTGAAAGTCGTCAAAGGAACGGAAAGTAATTACGTTTAGTAGTACATAGGTCAGGGATCGCGAACCATTGGTACGCGTGCCGTTGGCACGGAACACAAAATTTTGTACACAACAGTGACTACAAAACTGATGAATGTCATAAACCCACAACGCATTTGTTGTGTCTCTAGTATTGCAGGTGTAGTCACCCTGCGGTGACAGCTTACCAGGTCAACTGTTAACTTTATTACTACTGATTGACAGTAAATAGTAAAAATCAGTCAATGGCATTCACGACCGTACTTTTCTTCAAAGTAATTGGTACGTTAATGTGTAAAGGTTCGCCATCCCTGGCTTAGGTATATCGCGTTCTTAGAAAGTTAAATACTCTGTGACTAAAATTATTCGCGTCGCATAAGTGTCTGAACTTTGGTCTTTTCAGTAATTTCTACATTAACTTTTACATTAACTTTTACATTACATTATCTCATACAGTTTGAATTTTTTAAGGAAGTTACGATATTGCCAGACTGCCTCGTTGGCCGAGTGGATAGATACACCTATAGATCTATATTACTAAAGTCATCATCGTCATTCCCATACTTTAAATTACTTGGGGTCATATTTTCTTCTTCCACTATAAAGTACATGTTTTGTTTGGTAAACTGACGAATTATGTATGAAGTTCCTATTTCTAGTACAGCCATTAATTTGTATCCATATTCCATACCCAAATAAACGGTTTCATAATCTTATTTAATCGTTAGGAAAACCATGTTATCAACTTATCTAAAATGATATTAAGTTTATAGGATAGTTAATCTACATAGATATTGTTATTATTTAATCTAGAATGCGAAGCTAAATTTTCTTTCACAGGCTGGATTCTTAAGTTGGTAATAAATCACTATCACTACATTGTATAAAACAAAGTCGCTATCCGCTGTCTGTCTGTCCCTATGTATGCTTAGATCTTTAAAATTACGCAACGGATTTTGATGCAGTTTATTTTAATAGATAGAGTGATTCTTAAAGAAGGTTTATATGTGCAATACACGTACTTGTACCCCTGCAAAGCCGGGGTGGGTCGTAGTATGTAATATTTTACATTAGGGCTTCCACAAATAGTCCCTATGTTTCGAAACTGCAGTTACTACATCTGCAGATGAATCAGGATTACACACGCAAAGCCATAGGCAAAGCTATCATAATACACGCGATGCATGACTGACTATTAATGTGGCGATAAGAGCGAATTAAAAATTCCAATAACATGTAAAATGTCAACTTGGTCTTTTGAATTTCAAACGATGTGTTTTTAACTTTGTCGGTCTTTTCATACGCCTTCATGCATAACAGGAATCTGTACCTATGTCCAAAAGGGTATAATGCAAAGTGTTAACCATCGCCAACCATCTCAAACAATAATGCTCAAACCTTCTCCGTGTGAGAATATACATACAGCCTATAAGTGCCCACTGCTAAGTAAGCAGTGGGCACTTATAGGCTGTTGATGATGATGATAATAATCAATCACCAAAGCAAACGGCGACCAATGGCAAAAAGCGACCTATCCCTGAACACATGCCATTCATAATTTTGGATTAATGAAAAAAAAAAGAATACACTTCCTAAATTTTATTTTAATGTCCGTCTGGTAGATTAATTTAAAACTTTAGACACGTATTTTTCGTTTACTAACAAAATTATGTACTTTCGACGATATATTAATTTGAAATATCGTGTGACGTCACAGCGTGCCTCATTATGACGTATCAACCTTCCACTCCTAAACTTAGCGCCATTTTATCTAAGTATTACAACTTAATACCTACGAGAAAATAAAAAAAACTTGTCTTGTATTTTTTCATTATATATAACTGACGGACTAATCAGATTTTTAATTTTGATACCCTAGTAGTTTCTACCCAATTATATATGTTGCAAATTGTTAGCCCAGACGATAACAACTTGCTTAGAAAAGTAGTTAAGTCATAATTAATCATAAAATTTTGTTTCAGATTATTAGCCCGGATCGAACGGTCAACTTCACTGTCGAATATTCCCGAGACATTTACGAAGCGAACCAGTACGTGGTTAATTTGGAAGTGAAGAAATATTACTTTGAAAGCATATGGTGGACTGTCGCAACTGCTTTCACGGCGTTCAATCTAACAGGTATGTGTATTATAGTAATAATAATAATAGTGTCCGTTACTCAAACTGAATCTGCGAACTGCACAGGAGATTCCATCCCCTTCATGCCTATAATGATTCGATTGGACGGCATTCCGATGCTGATACAACTGGTGGAAGTTCAGTATCTAGCTAGGACAATAGTTTAACCAGCTTTTCCAGGAATAAGGGTGTAACACCAGTGATTTTTCAGTCTCTTGACTTGGTAGTCATTACGTGGCCATTAGGTGGTCCTAATAGTCCCAACCCGGAGGAATCTTAATTTTAATCTTCGAGATTACTAATACACATAACAGCGGTGACTAAACCAATTTACAAGACCTCATATCACTGGTGACTAAACTAACGAGTCAGTTGAAAGCAGGTGAATTATACAGTGTTTATCTGCATCGATACTAACTATATAAACTGATATTATACTATGTAGGTATATTGAACATTATCAGTGTTACGGTATCTCTAGTTAATATTTAATCATGACTAGTTAGATAGGTAAATGCATATATTGCAGTCGACTATGTAAACACAGGAAAGTATTTGTTCGATAAACCGTTGCATAGTCAAATTAAATGCACATCACTGCGTTATGACTTTTCAAAGATATATTTTATTTTTATTAATAAGTTATTTATAAATTAATTGCCGATATTAAAAACAATATGTGACTCAATCATTGTTATTTTAACGCACCGATATAAGGTTGTTCAACTAAAGGTCATCGCAACACCACACACGGCTCCGGCACGGCTCCAACCCAGCAATTAACTTGTCATTTAAATATGAACTTTAAATCGTATTTCGTATGACATCCTTACTAATATTATAAATCGGAAAGTGAGTTTGTTTGTTTGTTTGTTTGTTTGTTTGTTCCGCCTTCACGCCATAACTACTAAACCGATTGCTTTGAATTTTTGCAGATGTATAGTTAGAAGTCCGGATTAAATAATAGGGTACTTTTATCCCGGAAAAATGTGATATTCCCGAGGGAAAACAAAAGTATTGGTAAAGATGGCGCTGTGTGTATTGGTATATGTCACATTGGCTTTTTATCCTTTTGTGACGCGAGCGAAGCCGCGGGTAAAAGCTAGTATTTCATAACGTCAACATAAAAACCCGTAAGCGCGCCGCCCGCACGCCGGTTGCGCGCTGACAACCTTTTTGTGCTGTTTCCAAAGCAAACAATGTCGTTCCGCAGCCGTGCTTGAGCCGTGTTGGAACCGTGCTTGTTAGGTCTACCATGACTGGTGACCTAAAAAGGTTTCCAGCGAGATATTGATAATGCACTTGAATTCGTCTGCATTATTAATTAAGACGTTTTCAATTGTAATCGTTGTGGATTGCGTGATACATATGTACGTAACGTATATAATCTAGACAATTTCTGCTAAGTGCTTAGTTAATTCGTTTGATTTATGAAGGACTAAGAAGGATGTTAGTAGAACAATTACATTTTGCCATTTAAAAACGAGTAACAATCTGCCGTCTGAGAACTAAAGTTACCGACGTAGCCCAAAGAATTAGCAAGCTGAAATGGCAGTGGGCCGGTCACATCAGTCAAGGAACTGATGACTGTTAGGGTACGTGTTCTGGAGCGTAGATCGCGTCTAGGTAAACGTAGTGTAGGACTAGACTCCAGCTAGGTGGAGTGACGATATCCGGATAGAGCGAACGGATAGAGCGGACTTTGCGGATAGAGCGAAGAGCTGAAGATAGAGCTCAGTGGCGTGCTATTGGAGAGGTATATCTAGAACATAATCTAGTTTAGATTCTAATGATAAGTATTAATAAAGTCCCATTTAGATTAAAATTAAATTTTTCAACGGTCCTCTGTAAATTGTAATCGTACGCCTTCCAAAGACCCTGTGGTACTGTGAACTAAAAGAGAACACTAATAGTTCAGCAGAAAAATATCTAAGCTAAGTTTATTACCTTGAAAAACTACAGAGTTATTTAGATTGTAGTAAAGTAATATAATATTAGGATATGTAACAAAATCGGTGACCAGACCTCTTGCCTGGCAAGATAATGGCAATGTCAATGTCAATCAATAATATACACCACAATCATGTTGTTGATAAACGTCAAAATGTATATATAATTAGGTATACGTACGTATAATAATGTTGTATAATATTTCCTAGAATATTTAGTATAGTTAGACTGAACTAGTCTCGTTCCCCAAAATGGGTAAACGGGACTATGACTACGTTTGGGCTTCACGCCCAAAGAGTATAATTTTTTTTATTAAGCCCTTCACACATTTTTGACACGCCAAGATCGATAGTACAGATCAATCACAATAATAGGTACCCGATGGGCCCAGGGACACGAATGGACGAACCATAAAATCTGTAAGAATCAGGAATAGGAAAGAGCTTATACTTTCCTAAAATCCACCAAAATATTGAAGAACTTATAGTTATCTAGTTTACTCCAAATAAAAAGCAAATGACTATAAATCACACATTTTACTCCTCGGGGAAATATGTGGATGTGGAGTATTGGATATGTCAAGGCTCAATATGAACCGGGTTGTTAGACTTCGAAGTGATCCAATTAACACAACCGGGATAATCCTACAGGACCTCGTTATTTTAGGAAATCGATACCGTGTCGTGGGTCGCGGTTACCGAGCGCCGTCTATGCGTAAGGATCATATAACCTTAACGTTATTTCGTGTTCATATACCGTACACCAGGGATGGCAAACCTTTACTTTCAATGTGTCATTTTTCTAAAGAAATGTTTATTAAGGAGGTCATAAATGTGCCATTAAATTATAAGCCTGTTTCTACGAGATCATCGTTAGCAAACAAAGCTTTAAGGGGGCTTCCCTTATGACTACAGCTTAAGAACACCTGTATCTTCAACACAAGAAACATCACAAGTGCGTTTCCGGTTATTGTGATCAATGACGAGCCAAAATCATTGAATTACATCCAATCCCACACTGGCATCAATGGCCAATACTTTGCCAGTCGTGGCAGACGTGCCAGTGGTTCGATATCCCTGCCGTACACTCAAGTAACATGAGATAAATTGCGAAAGACACTAGACAATGTTTCTCTCGCTGCCATTGCAGCGGTAAGTCCCCTCTTTGAGGAGTGGCTTGAGAGACGCTACGGCGTCCTCAACTACCGCCTGACGCAGGTCCTCACCGGATATGGCAGTTTCGGGAGGTACCTGTGTCTGATGGGGCGGGAGGAAACGCCCGGGTGTCATCACTGCGAGGACCGCCCTGAGGACACGGTGGAACATACTGTGGGAGAATGCCCTTCGTGGGCTGAGCACCGCCGTGTCCTCAGGGAAGTGATCGGCGATGGCGACCTCTCGCGTCCGGGCCTAGTGCAGGCCATGATGCGGAGCGAGGGGGATTGGGATGCCGTCTCCTCCTTTTGCGAAGCAGTCATGCTAGCTAAGGAGGAGGCGGGACGCGTGAGGCAGCGAAGCGCTGCCTCCTCGCAACCCAGCCATCGCGAAGGACACACCGGGCGTCGGGGATCGCGGGACGATCTCCGGCCACCGTAAGCGCGGGCCTGCGGACGGCGAGCATGGGTGGCTCCCCGTCCGACCAGAAACAGACCCGAGCGTACGGCGCGTCGCGTTCCGCGCGCGCCTCAAAGAGCCATCAGACCACCACAGATGGGGCCCAATAGGGCCGATGCCGATTCGGAGTCGCGGAGAACCTAACGGGTAACCGGGGCTCCGGCTCGACGTGCAGGAGAAGGAACGGGGTGGTTTTTAGTCAGTAAGAGTCTGACACTCCCTCCCGCCTCACCCAGGCGGGAGCAGTCATTCGATGATTTTACCCCCTTAAAAAAAAAAGACAATGTTTCTCTAATAAACTGCTATGTAGTTATTTATTTGACGTCTTACACCTAGACATTACGGTTTGTGCCTAAAAGTAATAAATGTCTAATAAGATGAGATTAAACTGATTTATTAATGATATTAAAGGTTTTAATAAAGATGCTAGCCTTTATAAATTTTCTTGTTCGATTTAGTAGAGGAATGCATCTTTTTGACCTGTTGACAACTTAATTTGCTGTTTAAGTGCCGTTGCATACGCACTGGGTATCCAGCGGAGAATTGTATAGCTATGCGTGAGAAGTGTACGTATGAAACGTACGGGTTCTAATACTATATTTACAGCCTTTTATCCACCATCGGCTAATCGTCATCGAAAAGGCGTCATCATAAATTAGCATTTACAAACTAAACTTCATATTTTAACTGATGTCCATGGGCGGCGCTGATCGCTTACCATCAGGTGATCCGTCTGATCGTTTGCCTACTACTCCATTAAAAAAAAAATGCCTAAGCCCCCAAAAGGCGCTCAGCGCATTTGTAACTCTTCTGGCGTTGCAGATGCCAATAGACAGCGTCGATTGTTTACCATGAGCTGATCCATCTGGCCCTACAAAAGAATCGTCACAATGATTCCTACAAACAGTCCAATGTTTGATACTTTACCAAAACATTCGGAAGTTATGTACCAGTTACCGTAACATTGCTTTAAGTAGGGAGTTGAGAGAGAATTGTTTGAGTTGAGCGAGTGTCTTGTATCATGTAACACGTCGCACATTCACTTTCTTTATTGAACGTCTAACCTAGATAGATAGTTCCGCTGTAAAGACTACCTATCGGTTGAAATACAACCTCTTTTGTAGGTTTTTTTTTTAAATAATGCCGTTATTGCCTCTTTTATTGTATCATTTTATTGTTTGAGTAAACCTGCAACGATTACGCTGTTAAGTCAATAAGCAGGAAATGCTGTGAGCATAGCTATTTTAAAAAAAATACGTTTCTTTTCAATTGTCATTTTATAACTAGCTTTGCACACGCAACTTCGTCTCAAAATTTTTGAGTTATCGCGTCATACAGGCGGACGTGATATGAGGGAGCCGCGGGGGACTTAACGTGTTGCCGGAGCTCCGTTTCGAAGCTTCTGTTTTTGCAGGAGTAGGAATGGGGTGGTTTTTAGGCAGTAAGAGTGTGACACTCCCTCTCGCCTCACCCAGGCAGGAGAAGCCATTAGATGATTTTCCTCCTTCAAAAACAAGGACGTGATATAGGACTGATGGGGAGTTCTTTTTAATGAAAAATAATTATATATGAATGTCTGCATTATCTACATTATTTGTAGGTAGGTCTACTGTAGGTCTTTCTTCGGAAAACAGTATCCTCGAAATTTTTTACCAAGTTCGGCAAAATGAGTTATTATTAGGATTTTAAATGCCTACGTAAACTCTCGCTAGTTTGCCCTATTTATAGTAAAAAATACTTATTGTTTCCTAGTCCAGGGGACTAATAATCAATATCAATACATAGTATAAAACAAAGTCGCTTTCGCTGTATGTCCGTATGTATGCTTAGATCTTTAAAACTACGCAACGGATTTTGATGCGGTTTTTTTTAATAGATAGAGTGATTCTTAAGGAAGGTTTGTATGTATAATACATGCATATTGCACCCGTGCGAAGCCGGGGCGGGTCGCTAGTAAACAATATAACTAAAGAATAGGTACCTACTTAGTTCAACATGCCATGACGTCTCACATGTATATGTGTCATTGTATATATTCATATTATGAAGTTTTTCCAATACCTAATTAATTTATTAACATCTTCCTTTATTACTACCACCGACAACGCACGTACTCGTTGAAATACTTCTCTATGTAGGTCGTATGGTAGGTAACTTTATAATATGCAATGAAGACAGTATATCCTACTGTTAACACATACACATACTGACTTTATACTATCTTTATATACTGACTTTTGTACCTCTACTATTAACCGAATTTATGCAAGTAACAAAAATGAGGTTTTTAGACATTTAAAAGAGATATAGCTAGTTAATTTATATCAAAATATTTATTTCTATATAAGTACCTAATATAATTTAGAATGTTTTTTTTTTGTTATTTTCCACTTATCCGAAAAAGATCCGCCCCCTTGTTAACAAACAAGCAATGTTGTCAATACTTTAATAACAGTTCATATAATGACGCATCTACACAGTTTAAAAAATGAGTTTACAATAAGTAGTGATAATAAAAACATAATTATATACATACATAACTTCACGCCTGTCTCCCATGGGGGTAGGCAGCAGAACGCCAATTTAGTAATTGGCGTTCTCTAGTCTCTGCCGATTCCTACATACTTCTTTCACTTCATCAACAGTCATTAATCTTTTCATGCATGCTCGTCGGTTAAGGGTACTTTTAATTTGGCCCTTCTTTAATATATCGCCAATCTGGTCACTATATGTCCGCCTTGGGCGCCCTCTACCGACGGCCCCATTCATATCCGCTCTGTATACTTCTTTCATTACTCTACTTTCATCTATCCTTTCTACATGTCCAAACCAGCGTAACAATCCTTGTCACTACATCATCTTTGAACCTGATAATAAAAAAATAGTAACAAATTGCAAATAATGGAAATTATTGTAGTCCAATGTTAGGCCCATTATTATTTGTATGTAACGTCTTCGAAGATAGATAACCCGTCGAGACCCTTTTTTCTGCAAATGTAAGTGCTTATTTGAACACAGCTATTTGTTGGAAAAAGAAATGTAACATTGTTGACAAATAAAGGAAGCGATATGTGTGCAAATAGAACGTGAAGATTGTTGACTTTGTGGTATTAATTGCAGTACAAATATTAGCTCTTAACATAATTTGTTTAATTACGACTGCAAAGACTGCCTCGTTGATGGAAAGGTCGCAAGTGCGACTGCCGGTTGAGGGGTCTCGGGTTCGATTCCCGGATCAGGCAAAGTATTACTGGGTTTTAAAAAATCTAAGTAGTAATACGGAGTCTGGAAATGTGCCCGGTATATGGCAATAGGCTCACTCCTTATTACATGAGACTCATAATATAAATAGCGAAAAGTGGGTGTTACATTGTACAGCGGCATTAAGTGCCGTAATGTGGATCTCTGATAAAAAGGTGTGATGTTATGTTATGTTTTGTTTAATTACGAAATTAAAGTAACTCAAATACAGATTATAAACGTAAAGCTCCCGAAACGCTGTTTTTACAATTTTAGTCGTAACGTTTTTGTTTTCGTGTTATTCATGCAACATAAGCCTTGAGCAGTTGATTACAACTATTATTACATAAAATAAACACTTAACTCCTTATTTTTATGAAAATAAAACTTGTTTTTTTACCATCACTTGTCGGCGTTTTTCGTATACATAGGTACGAACATTATTTATTACCTACAGCTGAAACACGGCAGCCGCTGAACAAGACCTCCCCTTTAACTCTTTCAGTCTTGGTGGTCACTGTAACTAACCACCTTTTCTTAGAAATTCAATTTTTGAAGTATGCTTCAAATTACTTTGCATTAGTTTTTAAGCATTTCAGTATAATTGAATAAAATATATTCGTAACCAGTTAAAAGTGTGACTGAAAGAGTTAAAAGTCAGTTGCTATAATCTCGATAGGGAAATTTGATAATGCTACTCCATCTCTCGGCAGGTCGCAGTTTTAGAACTATGTCTGAAATCACATAAACAAAGCATTATTTAATTTATTTCATAGGAAAATAATGGAACTTTCCATATATTACGCCACAAATTGAAGTTACATTGTAAACTACAATATTAATATTAATTTACCGTATATGCCACGGCGTATTTATTACATTTACACCTGTACTAAAGCATCTGTGTAAATTGTGTGTAAAAAATGTACCGTGACATACGATGTCCTTTATGAAGTGAGGTGGTTGACTTGTTAACTTCATGTTGAAGTCGTTCAAATTATTTTCTTGATATTTTTTAGTTTTTGTATTTTTAGTTAGTGTATTTCTAGTTTAATACTATTCAAATAGCCATAGACAATTCTTTTTAGGTACTAGAATCCATTCTATGATGATGAATTATTACTTAATACAGTTTGAGTTAATGGTAAAATGTTGTGAATATTTTACTTCTAACATGAAATATTGAGCCGTGGAAGGCCTAACGGAGCCGCAGAAGGCCTAACGGCTTCGAGCCGGAGCTCGAAGAGCAGGAGTAGGAACGGGGTGGTTTTTAGTCAATGAAAGTCTGACACTCCCTCTCGCCTAACCCAAGGCGAGAGAAAACATTGTATGATTTCTTTGCCTCAACAAAAAAAAATCTTGAAACATTGCAAAATAGACCTTTATCATATTTTAAACTTTCTCATTATCAATTTACAGATACACTTCATGGTGATATGAAACTGAAGCAAAACGATGCAGAGAGACCAAATAACTTCGTGGCCGTCAACAACACAGTCACCCACTTCGTTAAACTCCATGAGAGTGAACTGGAGTTCTTGAAGAAGAATGCCTCATCAATCCAAACACACTGGTTCATAGACTGCGTCTACATAGACGCTACTTCTGACTTCTCATTAAATTATACATACGAAGATAATATGGGCAGTCACGAAGTAGAAGCGATAGTTGTTGCTAACAACGAGCCTTTGCCGCCGTTGACGACAACGACGACGACCACAACCACGACTACAACAACTACTACGACTACAACTACTACAACTCCTAAGCCTACAACTGCTGGTCCAACTACACCTAAAGCCTCAACTACGACTCAAGTTCCTACAAATGCTTCGTCAACTCCTGCACCAATACCGTCGAATGTAACCGATGTTAATAGTACTGCACCCCACAAAGTGTCTAAACGTGCTATATCTAATAGAACTCTGAAAGGCCCAGACGGTTCACCACTCACATGCAACAATACCATCCCAATAAGCAGTGGGTACACCTACGGAAGATATCGGCACAACATATTTGTAAGAGGTAAGCTGATATTTGGTTCATACTTATTTTCTCATGGTCAATAATTATGTTATAAAAATATAATAATATTTATTGGTTGAAAGTTAGGAGTGTTTGTTTGGACAATGCAAACTTCTCTTATTACGGAAGATAATATTTATATTTCAGTATACTATATATATACACTTGAAAGGTAAAGAACAGATGACTTGTCATAGTAATTAATTTTCGATATATAGTATCGCAATTACTCTCAATCAGGTCCCGATCGTTTTTAAAACTCATCATAACATAACATCCCGCATTTTATCCCCCAATGGGTAGGCAAAGGTGCACATTACGGCACTTACTACTGCCACTGTGCAATGTAACATCCACTTTTCAATATTCATGTTCTGAGTCCCATGTAATAAGGGACGAGCCTATTGCCATATACAGGGTACATTTCCAGACTCCCCAAAAAAACCCAGTAATACTTTGCCCGATCTGGGAATTAAACCCAATACTCCTTGTGGGCAGTCGCACTTGCGACCAATCGGCCAACGAGGCAGTCAACGAGAGTAAAACTCCTACGCTTCTCCCTAAAAAGTAAACTTTACAATGGGATTTTTTTTTCAAATATAGCTTTTACTTTAAAGCATAATTAATGCATTTGAATTTATAAATAATCAAATCTTTCTTCTAAAAAAACTGGTATAGATTATAAATGAGGAAAAATAATCTAAAAACTTTAACTTATTTATTATACTACCGGCCCATGGCTTACTAATAATAAACATTTCTTTTTCCTGTAACGGGTTAGATCCGGTTTTTAGACACTTTTATCGTTTTTAATACTATCGTCATATGATAGTCGTATGCCAGTAGGTACGTCTCAGGATTTTTAGGTGAATTACACACCTCATAAATCTGGGAATAGATCTGGGTTCATAAACCTGTTTTACTCCAGTTTTTTTTTGTTAAAGTATGGTATCTACTATGGTAGTTGTTGAAAATCCGATTGAAATCGCTCAATATATAACATTGATCAACCCTAAATTAAATTAGGAAGAGACTATGAGAAACAATAGGGTAGTTTCCTAAATTTTATTTTAATGTCCGTCTGGTACATTAATTTAAAACTTTACACACATATTTTTTCTTTTCTCACAAAATTAAATACTTTCGACGATATAGTAATTTGAAATATCGTGTGACGTCATAGCGTGCTACATTTTTTAACACGACCCTTTAAATTAACACGATTCCTAAACTTAGCGCCATTTTATCTAAGTATTACAACGTAACGTTAAAGTCTCAGTAGTAGCACGGAGTCTGGAAATGTGCCCGGTATATGGCAATAGGCTCGTCCCTTATTACATGGGACTCAGAACATGAATATTGAAAAGTGGATGTTACATTGTACAGTGGCATTAAGTGCCGTAATGAGCACTTCTGCCTACCGCTTCGAGGATAAAAAGGCGTGATGTTATGTTATGTGTATTACAACGTAATACGAGAAAATAAAAAAATACGTGTCTAATATTTTTTCATTATCTAACTGACGGACTAATTAGATTTTTTATTTTGACACCCTGGAAACTACCCAATTGTTTTTTTAACAACTAAACATGTGCACTGCTAGTTTTCAAAGTGCTATTGTAGCAGAAACCACCGTAAAAGAAATAGTTTCGATTTTAGTTTATAAATATAAATCAGTAATAAACTAATTACTAAAAAACTATACACGGAAGGAAGGTAAAAAGAATGCGGTTTTTTATTTTTCCTACCGTTTTATAGACATAATATAACACGATAATATGTTTATACCTAAAACTATTCAATGTCTGTTATCGAAAGAGTTATAGCAAAAAATAAAACAGACATGATAAAGGAAATAACAAGAAAAAATACCAGGATTTTAAACACGTCATCGGAAATACCCGAACTTGTTTTATACGGAATACTGTGACGTATATTTGAAATGCTTATATTATGCTTTAATTTTATCTGCCATCGGAATTAATGTTTTAAATCTTAAAGCTTTCATGTATACATTTTTAAGTTACCCGTTCAAATTACTTAACTCGTTAAGCACCGTCATTATAGACACAATTTAAGAACAATAGGTTGCGGTCACCGGTGACCGCTCGGTGTTTGACAGTTTCAATGTTGGATGTCTACCATAAAACTCCAAAAAATTTCTACTACTTACTAAGGACTTACCTCAACCTCATGTTATAACTGGTTATTGTTAATTATCTGTATTCAATTTCTAATTAATGCTAAATTGATTGATATGACTGCACGGTTGGTGCGGTGCCTGGGCAACCGGCTGCCGTGCAACGTGTCGCGGGTTCGATTCCCGCACTGAACAATACTTTGTGTGATCCACAAATTGTTGTTTCGGGTCTGGGTGTCATTATGTATGTGAACTTGTATGTTTGTAAACGCACCCACGATACAGGAGAAAATCCTAATGTAGGGGAAACGTTTTTAAAAAAAAAAAAAACAAAAAAAAAAGTGATTTTATTTATCCAACTGCGAACATATTTGTTTATATACAAATGCTAATATGTCCATTTTTCTAAATTCCAGAACCGATAACAACAGTGAACATAACTGGATTAAACTGGCTTCAGCACGGGGACCTTTTGAACATGAATGTCAAGTATACAGGCTCCCAACCCTTCAACTACTGCATTCAGTATAAGTTAGGAGAGTACAATATCACTGGAAATGAGACCTGTCCCTCTCCCATGACGACAGTCGCCAATTCCTTCCCCCTAGTCCATTATTTCTCAGACAGTGACAAGCATACAGTTGTAGTTATCATAGAAAATGAAATTGGGAAGTCTGTTGCGAAATCCACTATTAATATTTACAAAGGTTAGTATAAATTGTGCTTTGTTACTGCGTTATAAGTCATAGAATTGATCAAAAGTAAAATTTTAATAGGGCCTTTTTAGACTGAACCTTCGTCTCTGTAAATGTTTTCCTTATTATTTAAGACAGAGATTACGTTAATAAAGGCCAATCCGGATGCTCTGTTCAAGCGTAACTTTTTTTAAACTGCGATATTCGACCCACTTGCGAAACTTGCTATAATCTCCAAACCGTATAACGTAGAAGAACCTCATAGTCCAATGTAGGGGAGGCTCCTGGTTCAGCAGTAGACTGTTACTGCTGATCCAAGTTGATAGGGTAGTAGACAGTGTATGAAAATTAAAAATGGAATTAGTCCGTCAGTTAGATAGTGAAAGAATGGATCCGAGTAGCAAAAGACAGAGAGAAATGGAAATCTTTAGAGGAGGCCTATGTCGAAAGACAAGCTGTTTTTGAACCGAACGCTGATATAAGAAGATATAAGTAAGATAAAACATTTATAAAGTGTAGGCAGTAAGCTAATTGATGTTAATGTTAGTAAGTTTAAACAGCAATAAAGGCTAATTTTATTTATTTTATATACCATAACATTTTATATACTATAAAATGGAGTAAATCGTGACGTCACACGTTATTTCAACGCAATATATCGTCGAAAGTATTTAATTTTGTAAGAAAAGAAAAAAATACGCGTCTAATGTTTTAATATAATCTACCAGACGGATATTTAAATAAAAATTTAGCAAACTACCCTGTTCAATAGTGGACATGACCCAGTTGAAAATTATGGACTAACATTCTAATTGATTATTTTATGGTTCCAGTATCGGTGCACGCGCAGTTGTCCGTCATAGTGATACCTGTGTTCTTCTGTCTCGTCGCCGTTATCCTAGTCGTGTTTGGTATTGCTTATTACCAACATCGATCAAGGTAAGTCATTTATGTTAATTATATAAGTAAGACTAATTAAAAATAAAGTAAAGAAGTAAGGTTTTGCTTGCGAGCCTGTGCTATACCAGGCATAGTTATTAGAAAATTTTACACCCTATTGCCAGAATACTGAAACGTTACTCAATTTTAAGTTGTGCTTAAATATCGTGCCATCTCTGTCATTTTACAAAGAATTTATAGTGACAGAAAGTGCGACTCAAAATTGAGTAATGTTTCAGTATTCGGGTATATATCGCCTAAAGTTTTACGTGTTTAAAAAGTAGTTTCAAATCTTAGTCAATAATAGTCTTAATCTAGGTCGAGTAAGGACTGATATTAATGCTAAAATTAAAAAAAAATAAGTAAGTGGTCGAAAGTGCGACTGCGAGGGGTCTCGGGTTCGATTCCCGGGTCAGGCAAAGTATTGTTAGGTTTTAAAAAAAATCTCTATAGTAGCACGGAGTCTGCAACTGTGCCTGGTACATGGCAAAAGGCTCACCCCCTATTACATGGACTTATAAGGTAAATAATGAAAAGTGGGTGTTACATTGTACAGTGGTATTAAGTGCTGTAACGTGCACCTCTGCCGAACCGTTCGGGGATAAAAGGCGTAGTAATGATAATGATAGTCTAATGAGTAACTATATCGTTAAAAACTTAAAGAAATAATAGATTATTACATTTGTACAAGTCAGATTGAAGAAGTTACAAGAACATTAATAATTGAATATTTATAAGTAGATGTTTCCTCATAATCTTTTCTGTACCATTTAACGATGGAGTTATTACTGCGTAATAGTTAATAAAGAGGAAATATTTGACTGTTTGTTTGCCTACATTTAATAGGATTATTAATTATGCGTTTACGCTTACATTATTGAGTACTCTTGAATATATTATGTAATATCATTGTAATAGCAAGGGGTCTCAGGTTCGATTCCCGGGTCGGGTAAAGTATACAGGGTTTTTTTTTAAATCTCAGTAGTAACATGGCGTCTGGAATTATTCTCGATATATGGCATTAGGCTCACCCCCTATTACATGGGACTCATAACATAAAATATTGAAAAGTAGGTGTTACGTCTTACAGTGGCATTATGCCGTAATGTGTACCTATGCCTACCTTTTCGGGGATAAAAGGCGTGATGTTATGTTAACATTGTAATTTAATATTTTCAAGAAATTCCACTACTAAAGCGAGACTTGACAAATATATTGGCCTATTTTATACATACTTAAGTCAAAACCGATAAAACAGTTCGGTACTGGTTTTCAATTTAAAAACAAAGATAAAATGAGAACTAAATATCTCATACTTACGTCATTCATGGCAATGACCAAGTTATACATTTGTCATTCCTCAATTGTTATTGTGATGACCGGTGATCAACCCCTGCTAGCGTAAACTTGATCCTTGCTTAATTTATTGCTGGCAAATAGCGGGGACCTTAAAAATATTTTTAAAATGTATAATCCTTAGTTACAATATCTTCCATGGCGTTCCAACTTTAAATAACATAATTTCATATTATCTTCTTAATCCACTGAGATGCACATAACATAATGTAACTTAGGAATGAAAGATGAAATAGAGGGCTGTTTTACTTTTTCTCACTTATATTTGGAAAACTGAATAAAATCGAGATTCGGGCCCAAGATCCCGTGAAACAGTTAAAGTATGTTAACCCAATATTATTTATTTTTAGTACTTATTTACATGGTATATAAAAATAAGGAATACGATAAATACGTACAAATATAAAACTAATGGAGAAAAATAAATAAAAGAAAACTAAAAAAAACTATTTACAGAGAGCATCAATCAAAAAATTCGTCCGCATCGACGTAGGAAAAGATAGGAAAAATAGTTAATTTAAAAAATTTGTATTATATTCCGCAGTTAAATTAATTATATTTTTTTCTTTACAGGCACACGATAGAAGTAGCGGACTTCGACTTCGGTCAGGCGCATCTCGACTACAAAACGTTCACAGAGCGACTTCGAGATAGCTTCAGAAACGCCTTCAATTTCCGCCAGAGGGACGACACGGATCCTCTCACAAATAACACTAGATACGACTCAATGACGTAAATAGTATTTAACTACGCACACGGCAAGAGAATTTAGTTTACAGGCAAGTGACTGACATTTACGTAGTAGGATTTTAGCAGTATATTATGGTTGGTTTTAAAAAGTCCTTTCAGTTGTAGTGTTGTTTCGTTGATTTTTGTAGCTGACGTTTTTATGAAATTCATCCGTTTTTGTAATAGATAATTTGATGTAACTTGAACTAACAGTTCGTTTCAATATTATGTACCAATTGTAAATGATAATAAACTCCTTCTTTTTAGTAACTAAATCGTTGTCAGTTGCCTGTTTATTAAATTCGAATGCTGTATGGATACCAATTATTTAGCGACGGCATTCAATGCAATATAAGTGACAGAAAGAGTGAATTCCAGTAGCCGAGAGAAGCATCATTATTTTACTCACTAACGGTCGAAATTAATATAATATCAATCCTAAATCTTTGTATTAAGATTCATATCAGTTTAATTTCAGCCGTAAAGACAAATGCGACTCGAAATAAGAATATCATTTTCGAAATCTAATAATGATAGCTTCATAGATACGGTTGTGGAATGTTAAATGGGAATTTTGAAAGTCATGAGTATCTTCGTTAAATAATTTAGTTTTTCGATCGCCAGCTTGATTGCCGATGGAAAACGATACTGAGAACAGAAAGGCGTAAACAGTGGCTTTAGTACGTTTGAAGTATTCGACACGAGACCACGTTCGGCACTCTGAGGCCTTAGTACGAGTTTGATTTATGAATAAAGTATTCGAAACGAGTACGCGTTCGGCACTGTGATTGGCTGGCGCCAATGAAGCAACCAATCAGAGTGCCGAACGCGTACTCCGTACGATTACTTTAAACGTAAATCAAATTCGTACTAAGGCCACTGATTGATTGGTTCATTGAAGCCGGCCAATCAGAGCGTCGATAGCCCTCAGAAAGAGTTTCTTGTTTTCTAATAAATTATTGAGTTACGTTCATCGAATTGATTCAAATTGGTTTAGTTAGAATCGTATATTATTTAATTTTTAATTCAATTATAGGGTATGCGTGAAATCTCTAGTGAACCATTGATCGGTCTACTAGACTAGAGTAAAAGAATGTAAGAGAAATCTGCTAGTCGTTTGTGAAGTATTTTGTCAGTAAAGAGCTCTGTCAACAATATTTCATCTTAATGTAAGTTTTTTAACGTTGGCAATTCTCCATCGGTTGTCAAACTCGATCATTTTATATGTCTGTGTCAAATGTAAAAGTATTAATATATTTATCATGTAAAAATTTAATTATATTCATTCCATTTTTCCTAATTATTTTAAAAATGTAAAATAATAAAGTTTATTTTTAATTTCTGATTAATAGATTGTATCGATTTTTGTAGAAGTTAGGGACAGTTGATTGATAGTACTGAAATGGAATTGTTTTGTATATGAAATTAGATCTTCTATGCTTCTATTTGGGTTGAAATTAGAATGACCTTTTGGGGTAATGACATTTGAAAATGTACGTATTTATGGCTAATAGTATATTGGCTAGCAACATTCATAGTGGCCATTCTCAAAACAAATGAATCTAAGCAATACTAATCTAGCGCCTGTGTCGTTCGTCAAATGAGTTTTTGACAAATGTTTTGTTTGACTTCTTCAATTAATTATAACTATATCATTTGCATGTTTTTTCTTCTAGTACTTTTCATCTTTAGACATAACGAGCGATAGATTGGAATGCGCTACGTAGCTTTTGTCAATCGGCTTTAAATTGTTGCCAATGTAGAAAAAGATTTGAAAACAAAATATAAATGGTAGTTTGGTTTGAACTATGGCCTCTCAACAATTTATTTAACTAAGTATATGTGATCTCTGTGTCCGTCTTGTCTGTTTGTGTCATTTAAATATCGTTTACCAAAAAATCGGTGATTATGTTTTAATTATATATATTTTTTTCTAACAGACTGACGCGTTTGAAATGATATTCTAATTTTTTATTATATATTTTTGGTTGATTATCGTTTTTAGCTTGTTGCACTAGTTTTTGGTCCTATCTGTAAATACTAAATTAACCAAGAGAAGGGACTTTAATGTATCGTCACGTGTAGCCCGACAGCGGTTCAAAAAATGCGATAATCTATGAGACAAGCCATGCTTTCAAGTGCGAAAATGTCACACTGGGGTGGGCAAAGGACCGCTAAATTTGACGTGACGTCATAGATACAGTCTCACTATGTATCCAACATTCAAGCAAGCATTTTTTCTTTAACAATATTTGTGCAAAGAATAGTGCAATAAGCTAAAGTTATAACTTTTTTTTTACAATGAAACTAACTGAATCTAGTGCTACGTTAGGACTGACGCACTATCGTGATCAGTCATGGTTTGTGATATATTAGATTTAATCAAATTAGGTCTATAATTAATCGTGTATTTAATAATAATGTATTTGTGCCAAAAGTATATTGTTCTGGAGTTTTTGTTTGATTTTGGTTTCTATTGCAAATAAACTGGAGTTGAAACTGGATTTACTAATATTTGCTGTATGCAATAATTTATTCATACAAAATTATCTGGTCTATTAAATGAAATTCATGTTTATAGGTGTATACTTTTGGCATAAATAATTTAATATTAATTTGTAGTTACAATAAAATGTTATTTAAAAACTTAGCCTTTCATTCCATATCATTCTAACCAATATGAAATATTCTAAATACTGAATTTCATATATAAACGTCCAGTTGTTTTGAGTAACAAACAAAAAACCTTATTCATAATTAGGCCGTTGGTAGAGGGCGCCCTAGACGGACATATAGTGACCAGATTGGCGATATATTAAAGAAGGGCCAAATTAAAAGTACCCACCCTTAACCGACGAGCATGCATGAAAAGATTGATGACTGTTGATGAAGCGAAAGAGGTATGTAGGAATCGTAGTAATTGGCGTTCTCTAGTCTCTGCCTACCCCCATGGGAGGTCGCGGAGAACCTAACGGGTAACCGGGGCTCCGGCTCGACGTGCAGGAGAAGGAACGGGGTGGTTTTTAGTCAGTAAGAGTCTGACACTCCCTTCCGCCTCACCCAGGCGGGAGCAGTCATTCGATGATTTTCCCCCCTTAAAAAAAAAACCCCCATGGGAGACAGCCCGAAGTTATGTATGTATGTATGTATGTAATTGGGTAATTGTTTTGTGCGAATGCCAAAAACATGATGCTTCTATGAATCATTAACTAAACATAAAATATGAACTACAAAAACAATACAAAGAAATACTTGCAATTCAAATTACAATATTGCGATTTGCGAACAATTCCGAGACCTTAATTCCACATTATCGACCGTACGATTAGTCATCGTCCGCGTCAGTACAGACATCCGCAAGTCAACTTACACAAACTGGCACATTTTTTCATCGGACTTTCGACTTTATCCCAATAGAATTAAGTTGAAAATGTAAGTTTGAAGGATGGAATAGGTTGATCTACTGTTGTCATGATTACAAAGAATATTTTATTTCTATTTGCGCAGTGTTACTGGAATCAATTTTCTGATACACTGTTTAACCTTTCAGTTGTAATGAACTCGTAACAGTTAAACTTAATCGTAGGTATAAGCAAACAAAGAGAAATCGTTCTACTGAATTTTATCAATAACGTTGATACAGTTATTTTTATAGTTGTATAAAGAATGGGTTCTACTTATTGCTTATTCATAAGAAACATGACGATAATTACTGACTTTTCCTCAAGGTACTTGCAGGTAAAATCATTATTTATTGTTCGTTTAAATGAAATAAATGCGCATCTATTTGAATGAGTTGTCTGGTAGATGCTAACAAGTTCATTCCTATTGAAGGTTGCGTTCCTGATGACTTCTAAGAGCTGTCTTCATCTGGTCACTTCAACTGCCTAGGTCGTAGGTGATCAGTCGCGAAATTTTTTATCGTGGCTACTTCGAGGTAAAAAGAGCCTAAAAATCCCATTCTAATTGGGTAGGTAGGTAGGTACTTGTCAACTAGTCAAATTCAATTTTTTTTTGAACTGTCAAAAACGTATTGTGACGTCAAGTTTCTTTAGGGTCAAACAGCATACCTACTTATATCTTAAAAAGCTGGAAATATACTAAAATTTAGTGAGTCATAAAATCAATTAATGAAAGTGTGATTATTTTTTAATATTTCTTTGTATTGAACAGTCGAAATAATTTATTTTTAAGGCAAGTACCTATCAAATTCGAGTTCATTCCGATACACTTGTATAGGTTAATAAGGAAATGTGATATTAACATAATTGACAGTTAGTTCCATTTCCTACAACGAACAATTTGGAAGTTAAGTTACCTATTTAGTTCAATTGATATCATACTATTGTACCTACCTACGATAATGCAAGCTGTTTTATTAAAACAGGATCAAAGAGTTGAATGAACCTGTTAAAGCTATCGGCCCGTGGTTGGTTATCAACGCATTCCCGTAGGTCACATACGTGGGTATGTGGCCTACTTATTTCGACAATCCACAACAACACGATTTAATTCACATCAACCTACCTACTAAACAACAAAGCAGATCTTATCTGTTTTGTATGTGTGATGAAATATATGACCAAAACATGTTGGACCAGAATAGGTAGGTGGAACGAAATATTTTATGTGAACCTATTCGGTGGTAATATCAACATGCCAGTGTGACCTGCTATTTATACCTACTTATAGAGATAGATACCTGTTTGTCAATGTCCAAATTTTCTCTCGTTTTGAACAAGCTAATTAATAATTTTAATTCTCAAAGGAGTAGTCAGTCAAGAGGGATAAAGATAAATACCCACCGAGACAGACAGACATGCATGAAGAGTGATACCGAGACCGTAATGAAAGCGGCGTGAAACAATGTTATTTTGCGTTTCGCCGTGTTAGTGAGGTAACCAGCGACTAGCCCATCGAGGCAGTTCATTATGATAAAAAAAATCGCAGTTCTTTTAACCTTGCACAGCGCGGCCTATACAATAATAAAATAACAGTCACATTCTACTTCACAGCTCATAAACTCATAAGTAACATCCACAACACTGAACTTTCGTACTAATTTAAACCGAGTCCAGTAAATCCGACTCAGACATTAAAAGTATTCGTTTTTCGCATTTCATTAAAATTTTAACTCGGTAAGCGCGGTCTAGGCATTTTAAGTGCCGGCGGGGTTAAGTCGCTTTAATCGTGTAACGAATACACGAGGACTTATTTTAAATAGCATACTCTCACCCTTAATGAACCACAGCTTGGAGGCGACAAGAGCCGCTCAATTTTCAGCTTTGCTATCTTTTAAGTGACTTTTAAACTACCTATCACTTATAGGTAGGTATATTGTTGGCCCAATATTTTAGAGAGATCTTTAAAACCTTGGGAGAGTATCTATCATGTACGATAAACGATACGAATAGGCCGACCGGACCGGAGTGATACCATACGAAAATGGGCGTCAAACAACGGTGTGGTTTGCCGTGCGAGAATATTTCCCCGTGAGTGCGATTACCGGACATGTGGTCCTACCAAAACCTCAACAGCCAATAACTTACTTGTAAGACTAAAAAAATATGTTCGTGTCCATGGGCAACGCTGATTAAGTGATTACTTACGATCAGGCAATCTGGCCATCTGGCGACTCATTTGCCACCTTATAAATTGAAAAAGGTCCATTTCATATTGTTATCGCCCGCCAGATTTGACCTATAAATAAACTGTTACGAATGGAGTTGTAAGTAACCCAACCTACTTTTAACACTTTACGTTCATTGCATCAATGGCGTTCTATCCAGATAAT